AGGCCACTTGTGCTTCCAAATAGCTTTAGATGCAAATTTAACCTTTGAAGAATTCTGGAAGAAACACGAAAACATCCTTTCCTGTATGGTGTTAACTGAGAAATCCAGGGTCCAAGTCTCTCCAAGGACACTGAAATCTGCCTGTATATAGGAGACCAACTTTAAAGGCGGTGTAGAGGGGCCTGTGCCTTCAACTGATGACTTGAGTTACAACCAGCCCTGGGCAGCAAATTGAGTTCATAAGCCAACATGTCACTTTGTATAATTTGCAATAACAATGTCAGCAGACACAGACTACAAGTGACAAACTGTGGTAACTATTAATTCGTCACCTTTAACTTTATGAACTATATTTGTAGCTATATAAAAAATTTAAAACAAACAAGAATTTTGCATGCAGTAAATATGTTTTTAAACAGAAATTTTACCCTCAAAGGAGAAAATCTTAAAGGAATTTAAAAAAGAAAAGAAACAGAAGAAGAGGAAGAGATTAGAAGCATTGGTGCAGGACAAAGGACTATTATGAGAAATTTGCAAAACTGGTAAAGAAGACATCAGGGAAAGATTGAAAAAATAAAAACAAGAACAAAGGACAAAAAATTAGAAACACTTCATATTCATATAAAAAACAAAAAAGATAACAATGTACAATGTATTAATTATCAAAACTGTCCTATTAATCAGCTTTGAAACTGTCCCATTCATATTTGTTTCTCAATAAAATTAAAATGAATAAAAAATAAATAAGTAAAAAGAAAATTAAAAAAAGCAAAAAGCAAAAGAAGGAAGAAGAGGGAGAGGAAGAGGAGGAGGAGGAAGAGGAGGAAGACAAGTAGAGGGAGGAGGAGGAAGAGGAGAGGGAGGAGGAGGAAGAGGAGGAGAGGGAGGAGGAGGAAGGAGGAGGAGGAGAGGTAGGAGGAAGAGAGGGAGGAGGAGAGGGAAGAGAGGGAGAGGAGCAGGAAAGAGAAGAGGAGGAGGAGAGGGAGGAGGAGGAGTACAGGGAGGAGGAAGAGGAGGAGGAAGAGAGGGAGGAGGAGAGGGAGGAGGAGAGGGAGGAGGAGGAATGAGAGGAGGAGAGGTAGGAGGAGGAGAGGGAGGAGGAGAGGGAAGAGAAGGAAGAGGAGCAGGAAAAAGAGAAGGAGGAGGAAGAGGAGGAGGAGAGGGAGGAGGAGGAGTACAGGGAGGAGGAAGAGGAGGAAGAGGAGAGGGAGGAGGAGAGGGAGGAGGAAGAGGAGGAGGAAAAGGAGAGGAAGGAGAGGGAGCAGGAGAAGAGGGAGGAGAGGGAGGAGGAGGAGGAGGTCCACTTTAGGGTGCATCTCTGCTGTCATTAGTAGACAAAGTGGGCAGACAGAGCCCCAATCTGTGTTGATTTATCCTAGCATGCCAGCATAGATTTAGGGCCGGGTAATGGATAATCCCAGCAAGCCTGTACTTTTAGTTCTCCTGATGTCCAGGTTGATTTCTGGGGGTGAGGTTGAAACCTGATTTGTTCAGCCTACAACACTGCAGCGCTTCCTGCCAGCTTAAACTGAGCCACTGGAGGCTGCTCCACGGAGCCAGCCGAAGCTGCTGCGTGCTGAGCTCAGCTGGCCTCTCTCCGAGATGACTGCCGCCAGTCCCCCTCCCCCGGGGTGTCTGCCCCGACAGCTCTCCAGCTACTGCGCCGCTGTGCCCACCCCTGCTCCACTGGTGCAGCTCTGCCTGGAGGACCCTGGGGTCTCCAACAGGCACCGCACACCTGCGTGCTCCCTCTGCCTTCCCCCGCAGTGAGTCAGGGCTGGAGGAAGGAGCTGCCCGCCCGCCGCCACCTCTCTGGCACTGAGGTCTCTCTTCTTGCTGTCCCCGTAGGCTTCTCTTCCGGGTCCGACCCTTGCTGGTCCCAGGGACCCACTCCTCCTCCCCGCCTCACATTGCTCTGTTCCAGGGTCTGGACACCGGTACTTGGACAGGCTCTTTCCCGCTGTCCCCACTTCACCAGCTTCCTCAAAGCCACCTCACGATTTCCAATGTTGGAACTTGTTATAAACGAGCCTTTGAAGATGACTTTAAAACACCACCGAATCATGAGGGCCACAAATGCATTGTGAGTGTGATCCCAGAGAAAATTAAATCAAGCCACACTGGCATTCTGAAAAATAACCCATCGTCACTCTTCAACCGGTACAGAACACAAGGCGCGGGAGGCAATCTGCGGACGACAGGAGAGCGAACGGCAGACCAGCAAGGCCGCCCTGCTCCCGACCTGCCGGCACAGCGCTGCTTCTGGAGGGGCCTCGGTTACTCCGAGCTGTTGAACAAAATCCCACGTGCCCCTAATTATACTAGCAACAATATCAACCAGGCAAACTGGTGCTTGAACATTTAGGTCTTGGGGGCGGGACTAAAATAACGCACATGACCTCAACGGCGTATAAATAATTCCTGTAAAAATTCTGTGAGTTTAAAAGTGAAAGAGATGTTTAAGAAACAATCTTCATAACATCTTCTTCCTTAAAAACCTAACATCCTTACTAAAGTAAAGGCGACAGATTTCACTTCATCAGTTTTTGTCCTTTCATTTGTTTCTTTTTCAGCCACAGACATGAAGTCCTGTCTTCTTGCAGGTGTGTGAGCCTGGAGGAGGGTTTACTACGGTGGCATACACCGCAGAGCGGCACAGGACCCCAGCTTGTCCGAGTCAGGCCTTCCAACACCCAGAGACTACACGCATGGTTACTAATTACCAGGAAAGCGGGTGTAGGTGTTCACATGTATTTACAATTCATGTTCTTACCAGAATGTGGATTTTAAAAACGCCCAAAGAGGGCCAGCCAGATAGCTCAGTGGACTGAAGTGCCTCCTTAGGCAGGCGCAAGGACTGGAATTTGATCCTCTTGCAGGGACTGGTTTCAACCCCCGTGCAGGGATTGGGGTTCGATCCCCAGCATGCTGTGTTGGCCCTGACTCCGGGCCCGCTGAGACAGCGACTGAGACTGGGCGTGGTGGTGCGCACCTGTAATCCCAGCACTTGGGAGTCTGAAAACAGGAGGATCACTGAGTCTGATCTGTATAGTGAGACCCTGTAGGCCCTGTACTACATACATTAAAAGAAAGAAAGAAGGACAGAAAGAAAAAATGCCCAAAGATGATGGTCTTCAAGCCAGCCGTGGCACCCGGCACCGAGAGGTTTGCTGCTTGGCATGAGGAAGGGCAGAGGGGAATAGAAAGTGATGCCTCGGAGACACAGAAATGGATCTTCCTTCTGGCCTGAAACTGCCTACCTCTGTAATCTCTGGCAGGTTATCTGCCTCAGTTTATCTGTAGAAGGCAATTAACGGCTACAAGGGTGGGTGTGAGGATTCCAGAAAATGTGTGCTGCTAGCAATCGACAGGCACCGATCATGCTGATTTCTGTGGGCGGATATTCTGTTCCCAGAGGACAAACATAACTTTATATTTAAAAACTTTAAAGAGAAATAAAACTTTACTTGGATTCATTGTTAAAAATAAACTACAATTTATTACCCGTTTCTTAGTGAGGAGTCCAAATCTTGAAAATTTGAGAATCTGGGGTTGCGGGAAGTTTCCCTGATGTAGGCCCGGTCGCTGCACCAGGTGCAGATGTGCGGCTGATCTGTCCTTTCCCATCTCTGTTCAATAAGGGCCAGACCACAGGGACACCAGGGAGGGGACGCTGCAGTCCTGTGATGCTCCTTATCCGCAGCAGGAACAGAGCCTCGACTGTGAGCAGGAGGGCCTGGCCGGTGGGTCATCCTCCAGGCAGGGCTGCACAGCTCCAGGGCCTCTCAGCCCTTGGAATGGGAAGGGGTCTTCTGGCCGGCTAAGGTCCCCGACGGGGCCTGCCTATGTCAGCACACGGCCAGCGGCCAAGGGCCTCTGGGCCCTGCACCGCTCCACGCGTCATCTGCCTGGTGCTACCATACCAGGAAATTTTTATGGCCAATAATATGGAAACCACCTTGGCTTAGTCAGAGAATCCTGCTGTTGTTAAAGCAGACATGATGTTCCCGGGGGTGAAGGGCAACCCCAGGTCTTCCTTCCTGTGGGGCCCGAGTGTCCTGGGCTCAGCGGACTTGAGGAGGCAGCAGAGCAAAGCACAGGCTGAGCACAGAGCAGACGCAGGTGAACACGGGGGCTTCTCAGGAGGCCAGGAGCCGACAGGCAGGCAGACAGTTCCCCAAACCCTGTATTAGCACTGGACCTCCATTTATAGGGCACCTCAGAGAATCTTTAAACTCAGAACCTTTATCTAGGACTTTGCCTTTGCTTTCCAATCATCGGAATCCAAACCGTTCCCTGGAGCTCAGAATCAGCCCAGCTCGGCCACCAACAGCACATCCCAGGGCACGAGAGCTCTTGTCACAGGCTGCTTAGGGCCTTGGCACCTGCTGCCCTCCCCAAGACACACCTAGGTTTCTGCTGCAATGCCCCTGGTGGAGAGGCTCCCGGACCCCCTCCCGAGGCAGCAGCAACAGACGCAGGAGCAGGCGCAACACTGTCTTTGGATTTTCCCTTTCCGCGCTTTCTGTTCTCAGCTCAGCAGCAGCTCTAGTGCACCTGTCTGCCCCTCCCCCCTCCGTGCCCAGACTCAAGCTCTGGGTTGCTTCCTCACTGCTGTGGCCAACGCAGGTCCTCACTGAGCATCCGAAGCTTGTGCTTGCCACCCAACAGACGCCAGCGTGAACGCGCGCGCGCGCACACACACACACACACACACACACACACACGAGTCGCATAGCTGCCCCAGGCAAGGCTGCAGTCTCCAAACCCCTCCCAGCAGGACTGAGGGTAGACCAGGCGGCTGACAGACTCGGCCGGCCGGACGGCCGGAGGCTCCTCCACGTCCTTGTTGCTCCAGGCCATTCTCAGAGCTGCCAGGAGTTTCCCTCCCAGCGCCTGTCCATGAGGTCAAAGAGCACCCTGCGTGTGGTACCCACACCTAACCACCCCCCACCCTCCCACCCCCAATCCGCTCAGGGAAACCACACTTCCGTTCTTACCATACTGCTCCAAGGAGCTCGTGAAGAGGAGTGAGGCAGAAACGCAGGTCTGGGACTCGATATCTACATCGCCCAGCCTCAGAATCAGGTTCTTGCCTTCTGGGGCCACGATCGTCTTTTCACAGACTGTGTGATTGGGGTAAGTTCCTGGGTAATTCTTAGATGTCATTGTGCCACTGCCCTGATAGGTCACCACGTGTCCACAACCATCACCTGGCCAAAAAGGAACAAATGAAAGATATAAGTATAACCATTCCTACTCAGGACCAGGTCCAGGACAACTTCCAACTTCTGTACTTTATTCTCTCTCTCTCTCTCTCTCTCTCTCTCTCTCTCTCTCTCTCTCTCTCTCTCAGCAGTCACTGTTCTTTCAGGTCGTTCCATCTGCCTCTGCTTCCCAGTTTGACCTTCTGTGAACCTGTCTCACAGGCTGTCTCAAACGGAAAGCTGTGGGCAAGCCGTCACCCGTCACACTCCTGCTCCCAGCGTCTGTTCCTCCCCGCTCAGCCTGTCCCCCAGCCGAGACACACATGGGCTCAGCCACGCACGCCAATGCCACTGCGGCCAATAGCACTCATGCCGCACACATCTGCGCAGTATCCCTGATGAAAGAACCGATGAGCCAGCTGGTGCACATGAAGTGCTCCTGGCAGGATCTGAGGCTCTGTGCAGAGGGCTTTGTTCAGTGCGTACTACTCGGCTGGGGATGGAGCCTACCAATCACCCGCACTGATGTCTCAGTTAATGACAGTCACAGATCTGAGGGCTGCTGACAGACACAGGGGTATCATTAGAACACACTGTGGAGCCGCCGCGTTGAGTACACCCCACACACCAGACATGGCATTAGCTGGCAGGGACAGGAAAGCAGGGGACGATGGGAGACGTCCGCATGGCTGCGCGACTAGTCCAGGGGTTACGAGCACTGTCAAGGTAGCTCAGGCTAACCGCCAGGGAGACAGGGAGCGAGCCGAGACAGAGTCGGTCTAGAAACGCCATCAACACCTCACCAAAACAAAAAGCGATCACAAAACTTTCTCCCTTGGGAAGGCTGTCAATGAGTCAATAAGCTGCCCTGGTTGATAAAAGGTTCAAAGTAGCTACACACACACACACACACAGTGGGTGCCCATGCAGCGGTCAGGGGGCGCACACTGAACCTGGACAACAGGCTGCATGGCGAGCTGCGCACACACCGTGGAAGCGTGCAGCCCAGGCCAGGAGGCAGGCCGAAGACCAGCTGAGGGGGCGCAGAGCTGGGAGCACAGGCCACACCCTGTCTCAGCAGGGACATGGCTGGGTGTCCCAGAGCCCCCGCCATCCTTGTCCTTCCCAGACACCGCTC